GGCTTTCATTGAGAACACTGCTGAGTGTGACTTAACCTTTATAACTGACAGACACAAAGGCTGTTAACCTTTGCCAGTTATCTATCAAAGACCACTAACCATTCTCATGTCTCCTTTTTTAGCACTTCCGTGATCAACAGAATAACATCTTTATTCTGCGAATCTTACCATTCACATGCCAGCAGACTGAACCTATAAATCTGACAAATGAAATTTCACAAGGTCTTATTCCAGAGCAAAAGCAAATTCACATAAAACCTGTTTCAACATGACTTCAATCTTTCAGTTCTCACCAGCTTGGAGGACAGCATGACGTGCTGCTAGAAACATTTCATTTCTGGATAATAAGTGTGAGGTTTCTGTCTCACAGCCTTGGTAGCTATGGAAACTTAATACTGTATCACCAACATTATTGTTAAAAAATATTCTTTTAATTTGTGGCTTTGATTTGAGACCTAATAGGTGTTGAATGTACTGTAATCATGGCATTTAGTAAATATACAGCAGCCACTTTTACGAGTTTTAAACTATTAAATGTATGATGTAAGGGTAAACTCTAAAGGCAGCTATCATATGCAAAGTATGTGCAGTATATTTCACATTTGATATCTATTCTTCTATTTATAATAAACTGTGAATGTCCCTTGATCATCATCTTTCAATACATCTTCAATCAGTGTTTCTGCATGTTTCATATATTCCGACAGATCCTTCATTCAGTTACAGAAACAATGTTCATGTTTGAAGTACAGTCATTAATTAACTGTTGGTTTATGGTCCTTTTCGATGCTGGTAGTTTTTCCACTAGATGGCAATGTTGAAGCAGATATGCTGGTGACAGCAGCTAATGTCTTAGAGCTAATCTTTCTGTGCTGTATTTTCCTTGCTGTTAAGCTATTTTAGATTAAAGAAAAACTCATCTTCAGTATTGAGCTGTAAGCAGTTGCAGGTGATGATACAACCTGCATGACCAGCTCAAAAATTAATTGAAGAAAGATTCCTGGTGGCATTTTGCCTAGTCAGAGTGGAAGGAAGAGGAATAAGGAGCCAGTAGGCATGAGGGTCTTTTTCCTTCTCATTTTTGGAGTATTTTATAGTTTTAAATTTAAAAAAATTACTTTGTAATTTAAAAAAAATATTGCTGTTGCACCACATCTTTTTTTTGCCATAAGATATAGGTATAATCTTCAGTCTGCTGGCATCTTTTAACTAATTCTAGAAAGAGATCTCATCGCATCTGCTTTTTAAATGCATTATTCTTTACTTACTTACCATTTCAGCCTGTTGTCGATTCACACCAACAATAAGCAAGTGAAATAAAAAAAAAAAAAACTTAAATAGTTGTTTCATTTTGCAAATGGTGAATCACACTTTTAATTTATGGGGAACATTAACCATTTGAGTCTTTTGGACAATATATCATATGTATATTGTTTGTATGATTCACCTGATGGATTCAGATTCCATCTTTGAATGTCACTGAATAGTTTGTCACTCAAGTCAACATGGAGACTTATATCTGGGACTCTCCACCATTTGACCTTAGAACTGAAGAAGCTTCTCGGATGAGAGGTGAAATGTCTTCAAGTAACTTAAAGAAGTCCAGACACTTTTCTTTGCAAGCTCCTTTGTCAACATGGAGGAATATTAAAAAGAAAAAAATCCTTTGGTGGAGGGATAAAATTGATTTGATTTAGTGTGGCATAAATGAAAACAGACCAGAGGAAAATGAGACATAAAACAGCTGTCGTGTTTTCTCTTTTTGTATGTGGCTTTGTGTGTGCAATGTCAGATTAAAATATAAATACAACACAATGAATACATCATGTAGTAATGGTCTGTGTCAAACACCATGCGGACTGTCTCAGATAAAACAAGAATCTGTATCCATCTTTGGTGTTGGAGATGTTATTTAATCAGGCAGCAGATTAATATCAGTGAGTTGCAGTTCACTTCCACTTCAGATCAGACTCTGCTGGAAGTCTGAATTCATTCAATCTTCTCATTTTTGCTACTTTTCAGATGATCCAGGAGTTTGCGCTACAGGTCGTGCTGGAGAAATAGCTACAGTGCTGATATCCAGACAGGGTTTGACATCCATCATCCTCATGTTGGCCTCAAAGTGACCTTTTGAAATGTAAATTAAAGTATAGCTTTATGGCTCCAGCCATCCATCCAAAATCAGTGCTTGATCTGAGACATTTCTTCTGTCTCTGTCAGCAGGTTGTTGTGTGTAGGTCAGACTAAAATATCAGTCATCCCCCATTGGACGGACTGCCATTAAATTTAGCACATTGATTTTCGTGTAAGTATGTATTTTTGGCTAATAAGGCGCCACCATTAGATTAAAACAACAACAACAACAAAACAATTTAAAGGGTAATAAGTTCAAAGTAGTGCTGATAATAAATTTGACCAAAGGCCCAAATTTATGGAGGGCCAGGAGTGACAAAATGAATGAATGAAATACTCCATTAAATAATTAATAATGAATGAATAATAATTCATTAATTAATTAAAATTGGAATTACTTAAATGAATATTTCAATAATTAAATGCCTATTCATTTCATTTAAAGCATTTAATAAATTATGCATTTCAAATTTTTTTTAATTAAGGACACAATTAAGTAATTATATATTTGATTATTTAAATGGGGGCTAATGCACGTCAGTGTAACTCCAGACACCTTTCTGCACGGACAGAGATTATTCTGCAAGGCATTACTCGCATCCTATGGAGGACTGCAAGAGCTATTCTCACAGGCTATTCTCAGGGGAATCTACACCAAGTCTGTATTGTTTACCCAAGATACATAAACAGGGTGTACCTTTAAGACAAATTGTCAGTATGATCAACTCGGGTCACCTATAACATCTCAAAGTTTCTGGTTTCGATCCTCAACTTGTTAGTAGGCAGCTCTGAACACTACATCCAGAACACCTTGTATTTTGTTGAGAAGGTGAGAGATGTCATTATGGAGGCAGATGACTAATGGACTCGTACGATGTTACATCTCTCTTCAATTGGGTTCCAGTCAATGAAACACTGGAGGTAGTTCGTAGAGATTACAGGATTATCCCAACCTCAGCAACAGGACCACTCTCAGCACCGACCAAGTGCTGCTTTTGGAACTGTGACTTAATTCCACGTATTTCACATTCAAGGGTCAGTTCTACAGGCAGAAACATGGGTGTGCCATGGATTCCCCAGTTTAACCCAATGTGGCCAATTTGTACATGGAAGAAGTGGGAAAAAAGAGGGCTTTGTTATCCTATCCTGGAAAACCACCAAGTCATTGGTTCAGGTATGTGGAAGACACTTGGGTGAAAATCAAAAATCAGGACGTACCACAATTCACGGATCACATTAACTCGGTGGATCAAATCATCAAATTCACCAGGGAGGATATGAAAACTGGCAGGATAGCTGAGTGACTGAGATATCCATTAGTAATTTGTACCATAAACCTACGCATATGGATCAATGTTTAAGGTTTGACTAAAATGATTAAAATGACTTGAATAAAATGGCAAGTCCACTCCTCATTTGAAAATCAACTTCCTGTTAGCTCACGGATTAGCTATCATATTAGCTATTGGATTAGCAATCTCATTTCTGAAATCCCAAAGCAATGCAAATTAGCTTGTGCTCATACCTCTGTACTGCTAAGAAGTGTGTGCATTTGTACAAAGGCCATTTAGCCTCGGCACTTGCACTCTGTAAATTTTTAATTTACATGCGGCTAAAATGGTAAAGTTGCAAATGATGTCTATCAGTAGGACCTTTTTAACGTCTGCAACATGCTAACAAGCCAAGTCTGGATTCGAATTTGAAGTTGCTGGTGTGATCTTTGGTTTAAAGCAAACAACTGAGCCATTTACAGTGCAAAGTCATTTTCCCCTCACCTTCTACAACCTGAAAAGTGTTAAGCCTTTCATAAATAATGAGTTCTGCTGTGGGTCTCTCATTGCCTGTCTGTAGAAATAGGATATGATATAAAGTCATGTCTTGACATTTAAATCCTTAATTTGTTTGATGTCATGTTTGATATAGATGAACTTTTGTTTTCTCGTAGCTGAGCTGGTGAGTCCAGTCAGTGTACGTCAAATGGTCACCACAAACTTGAGGAACAGTCCTTTGAGCTGCACCCTTTTGGACTCCATGATCAATCTAATCCTCTCCCTATACCATGACCTGGTCCAAGGAGTTTCCTCACATTGCAAGTCAGGGGATTGTTTCACTCAGTGCAGCTGATGACACCTTTTATCCAAGTGCAGTAGAGTAAGAACGAGAACACCATTCCATCTCCTACAGAATCACCAGCTGCTATGATGGTGCTACCTGCAGGCTCCCGTTTTCATTCTCAGATCCTGACTCCAATACTTCCAGAGAAGGTGGATATTTATGCACTGTTATCATTATCTTTTAAATTTTTAATAGTCCCTCTCGTACTTGGTTGAGTACTGGGATCTGCCGCACCAGTGCATGAAACATGAGGGCACTAATAGACAGGGAGGAGATAATACTTGAATTCATTCTGAATGAAGACCAAATATTTTTTGACAGCCATTTCAGTAATGAGTACACATACTTTATGAATGCTTCTTTCCTGTCAACATATATTGGTCCCCAAATAACCATGGGTCATTGGCTAACATAGTTCCATCATCTTTTCGTCATCTACATTTTTGACCTGAAAGCAGAAACAACCATAACGTGGAGAAATTAAATTTCTGGATTTATGAATGAGGACTGTGTGGAGGAGAGCTGAGTCAGGTGACAGGTTGTTTACCTGACCTACAAGCTGGAGTCAGAACCTCTGATTTTTCCTCCTCTGACCAGGCATACCGAGTGGCACGATCAGCTGTCATAATCAGCATCATTTTTTCCACTGTAATTGTCAAAGGGGGCTGGAGGCCGGTAAGTTAAACTGAACCCAAGCACAGTAACCCATAGCAGAGGCAGAGAGAACATTTTAACAAGGTTTATTTAACTAATACAAGGGTAACACTTGGCAATGGCAAAATACACAGTGGCTTGGCTAATGTGGCGTGGTAACCTGGTTGTGGGGAAACAGGGCCGTGAAGGCAACTGGAGCGTGGCTGGTATGTAATAGTCACACTGGGGAGAGAGGAGAACAGAGTTAGAATGAGAGCCAAGGGTTAGTTTGGAGTTCGTGGATTATGGAGAAGGTGAGTATGACAGTTTTTCCCAGCTTACTTGCAGGAGGAGTGATAGAGGCTGGAGGGAGAGGCGGCGTGACTCCAGGAGAATTCGAGAGTGTGAGACAGCTGACCTGAGTTCTGTTGGTTTCGAGGTGGTGAAAGGGCAGGAGGGCAGGCAGGTGAGACACAGAGGGATTTCCAGAGAGCAGGTATGAAGGTGCGTGTTAATTCTGCACCGTGGAGTATCATCAAGTAGGCAGAGAAGAGACATTTTCTCATCAGCGTAGCACTTAAATCTCCCCAGCTTGATTCCCTCAATTAGCTCCAGGTGAGTAAAGCTGTGGAAACTCACCACTCACACAGACCATGACAAAAATATAATCTCCTTTCCCAAGAACAAACAGTTTACAACATACATAACTACACCACACCACAAAAATAACTAAGTTTCTTACCAAAGCATGACCAGGAATCCCATCAGTAGTATGTTTGCAGGAAAAATAGGTCCATGTGTGAGATGAACAGAAAAAAGAAAAAAAAAAGAAGCGGAGTTTCTGAGGTGAAGGAGGCTGCAACGGGGAGATTTCTTTCATGTGGACATGGTGGTGGATGTTAGGATTTCCAGTCATGTTCTGTAAGAAACAGTTTTGTTTTTGGTCTGAACTAGGGAGACCTACTTAGCTGTCACTGATTTCTTTTTATGTATAAGTTCATTCATTTCATTTAAAAGTTCACGGGTCTGGATAGCCAGTATGGAGGGCCAGGAGTGACAAAATAAATGAATTAAATAAACCATTAAATAATTAATTTTTTTAATTAATTAATTACAATTGGAATTAATTACTAAATACATATTTCAATAATTAATTAAATGCCCATTCACTATTGACCAGGAAGGAAGCTACTAAAATGGCTTCTTTTAGGCAGAAGATGAACTGTAGAGCTGCTCTGAAGTCCAGCTGCATCATAGGTCCGCTTTTATTTTGTCCATAACATTATAATCAGCCTTCACTGAACCACTATCATTGTGACTGTGAGCATATTAAATACAGCTCTATCCTTAAGCACAGCCCAAAATGGTTTCTAGTTCGTTAGCTTGCCTGTAGAGACAACTGTGCAACTAGGATGGAGGAGGGGGCTTGACTCTATAAAGCTGATATTAAAAAACAGAGGAAGGGAACACTGTGGTAGGAACCTGCAATGGGCTTGCGACATCATCCACAGGGCTGAGACAGAGAAACCGACAGCAGCTCATTTATACCTACAAACACTAGAGAGCCACCAATTAATCTGCACATATTTGGACTGTGGGAGGAAACCAGACACAATGGCACGAAGAACAAGCAAAAGGCACACAAGAAAGATCCCAGGTGAGCTGTGAAGCAACAAGGCTACACTGCCCCCTTGTGGACATTATGTGTTCTGAAATAGGGAAGCCCAATGTTATAGCTTTGAGAAGAAACAACAAAGTACTCACCTTATCCACACTGGTGTGTCTTTACCTTACTGATATAGTCTTAGTTATAAAAAAAGATTAATGGTGAAGGAACATTTTAAACTCATTTACATTGCTAATAATCTGTTTGTCAGCATCTCTTTCGAGTTCTGCCCTGACCTTCCAGGACCCAAGTACCCCTTTTCTGTCTATCAATTGCACCCTTGCCAGATAGAGCCCTCGCACCACTGTTGAGTTTCTCATTGGCAAGTCAAAGACTGTAATTGACAATTCAAATTAGTCTTGCCATGCTGCAAATTGCTTTAATTCATAAATTAAAATTTTGAATCATAATGATTATGAGACCTCTGAGTGGTAAAAATGGGAGCAGCAAATACAAAATAAGCCCTTTCTCAGTACTGAGTCCAATATGGGGACAGATATAAGAGATAAACAGGAGTTTGGGTTTTTTACCTGCCTCTCAATTATACAAGCTCTTAATCATGGGGTCAGAGTTGTTCACAAAAGAGTACGTGCAGTGCTATCTTGCAAAGCAAGTTCACATGAAAAACATCCTCCAAAGCAGAAAAATAACTAACCTTTTCACACAATAGTCTCAACCAAGAGTAGGCTGTAAACAAGTGTCGTAGATGGGATCTGTTTTTCACATGATCTAATCAGACCTGTGCTCCCATTAGCCAAAGAACTCAAACAAAGCTTACAGACACTCACACACAAACTTAAACGCACCTGAATGTAGCATCCACACGTTCGACAGGCAGGCTGTTTTCTGCTCCCACAGTAGAGCAGAGGATAATGGGAAAGATTAGTGTGAGCGGCTGATGCCTGGCGACCCTTTCTCTGAGAGGGTGGCAGACGGGGATGCTGGCTCTCAGTGGCCCTTGTCAATTAGAGCTTCCACTCTAGCAGGCCGGGTCTAATGAAGAGTCCGGAGCACAGGAGCAGAGTCAGTCAGGCAGGGATTGATCCCTAGCCTGGTGAGGGCACAGTTGGGGGGCCAATATTGGAATGCCTGGGGACTGAGGGACCACATCTTCTTCTTCTTCTTCTGCCTAAGGGGAAATATGATGCAGTTCCCTCTCTGTCTTTGTGCTCCCATTTGACTTCTCGACATCATTATGCTCCCTCCTCTGTTATAAATTATTCTACATCTTCATCTCCAAAAGTTCTGCTGCTGATGTACGTCAGCAGTTTAAAGTGTGAGCTCGGTGTTGGTGTGTGATAACACTCGTGCTTCAACCTGTTTTATGGTGAAAATTAAGCTTCGGGCAAATTGAGTTTGACTCACATTGTTAGAATAACCCTGTCAGAACAGTAACTGTTCATGTGGAGCAGGAGTCACTGAAGCTTTTCCATTCTGTTTGAAATTAATTAGGTCTATTCTATGAATGACAGGTTGTCCTTAACCTACAATGTCAGTTTTAAGGAAATACGCTATGCGTGTCCAAGACTGTAGCAACTTTCACTAGTTTTAACCACACTAGTAGAACAGCATTGGGATGGTGATGCTTGTCAGCCCACCACTATGATTGAGGCTGAGATATTATATTGCCTATTGCATAGATTGTATGGGAGCTCATAGTCCCCAGGTGACAAATCACTTATACTCCAGAGCAAAGATGGGTGTTACATGCCAAGAGATGTGGCTTTGCTTTTGTGTTCTTTTTATCTTTCAGGTGTCAAGCCTCCACCTATTGGCCAAAGTTGATTGGCATGTGTCTATTGGCTGGTCTGGGCACAGTTGGCCAATCACTCTCCCAGGATCACTACAAATGAGCAGCTCCCTGGCCAGCTGGTGGCTGCTGGCTTCTGCTTTATGACAAACATTTGTGTGAAGGCTTCTTTGTATTGTGTGTGATGAAGGCTGGACGGGTAAGCTGGGGTACCCTATACGCTGGCTGCAGAGTTTAAACTGTTAGACACACTAGGTTATGCAGTTGTATGTTTTCACTGACCTTTTGTCTAGTAGCTAGGTAGGCCTTTTGTTTTGCATTTTTCTTTTAGTTAGGCCCTGGAAGCTATCGACCTCTTTTTGTTTTATTAATTTCTTTGATTTGGCTCAACCGCCCAGTCCTCGTCCCCCACCTTTTTCTTTTGTTAAGTTTGACTATCAAGGCAAGCAACCAATAAATCCTGCCTGATTCTTAACTGTCCTGTTGTCCTCCATCTTCATTGATTGTGGTTGTCCAGTGTTGCTGTCTCCTTCCTACCTTTGCCTCCACCATGGTGAGGGGGGACGTAACACAAGTGGGGGCTCATCCGGGATCTTTTTATGCTGTGGACAACCTAAATTAATGAAAGTGTGTCGTGATTTTAGGGTGGCTATGTTTCATGGTTGCAGATGAAGATGAGTTTTGACCTGCTTGATTTTTTTTTAATCAACCTAGCGTTGGAAAGATTGACTTGTGTCGCAAAGACGACTTGTTAAGTATTGCTGCCCAGTGTAAACTTTCCGTACCAAAATACGGAGTGAAGAAGGATATTAAGCGGGCTTTGTTGGAGGGGTTAATAGAGTTGGGTATCTTAATTAGCCCTGCTACGACTGAGGTACCTTCTCAGGACCCTTAGCTCCCCCTGGAGCCTCTGCTAATCCAGCTTCTCCAGAGAGAACTGAAGAGCAAGCTCTATTTGCTACACCTCCGGGTGCCCAAGTTAAATCAGATGTGGCTCCCTAAACTCTGCCTCGTTTTAAGCCTTTCTCTCCAGAATCCCAGACATCTAGTAGTGATGCGAAGCTTAAGGTTCGCTTACTACGTTTACAGTTGGAGGCACAAGAGAAGGATAAGGTGCATAAAGCACTAGGGACCAAATGAGACACACCTCAACGACAGTTCCAGTTTCTGATATGGCCCCTTGCTAACCCTACTAGAAGGTCTACCAGATTTTTATTCTAGCACATAAGGTCAAAAAGCTGCAGAATTTCTAAGCAAATTATTTATTTTTGTTCAACAGAAAAAAGAAAAAAAACACACTCTATATTCTGAGCATGACCATTTACGCTCAGCCTTTGATAAGGTCAGGACCCCTCTGCCTCTTCAGTATTTCGGCATCTGTGCAGTGATCAGCATGCTTATCGTGCTTGTCACGGTCTGGCTGGGGCAGACCGTATGTGTTGCAGAGGAGGACTCAAACGCAGACCAAAACGTGGTATGGGTTAACAAAACAAGCCGTTTATTGAGACTAACAATA